TCTTTTATACTGGTTTAAATCATTGTTTCTGTCCTTCTTACTCTCCATCTTTCTTCCTGCCATTCTCTAATGAACGGTCATGCTCTGAATACGGACAAAGTGGTGCTTACCCCATCCATTCATTCATTCATCATTGTACTTAATGGCTGTTTAAGACTTATGGCTACACCAAGAGTACTTAAAGTTTGAGTAATACTAACTCACAGTGACAGGAGCAGCCATACAGACAGACCCACCCAGAGTCCAGACCCTTCTTCCGTAAAACTACCGTATTTGTCAATCACACAGAGGCGTGACCATTTCAAAATGGATTACAAATGTGAAAAAGTAATCACGTTCACACTCTAAACGGCTTTTATTAGTCCGGAGGGATTTTTTTTTGTGATGAACAGCCTCCTCTTCTGAAAGACTGCCTCTGGGTATCAGTCTATGGATATGGCTATGTGCTTCTTGGTTAAGATAGAAAAAGATCAAAAGAGCTGAAAACTTGCAACTGAAAATCTCCCCAAATATCACAGTGAAAGTGTACGACTCCCCTGAGCAAAAGTTTCCACAGCAAATGACTTTCTTCTCAACTCCTCAAGGACCAAAGTGAATTGGCTTTATGTGATGCAGGGTGGACAGCTAAATAGAGAAGGGACCAGCACTCAATATGACTGATAAGAATCATGACAGCTTCAAAACGTAAGAGCTATAAAATAGTATTAAGGTGAAAAGCACATTGGGCAAAGGTCAAGGGACATCTGACTGCAGATCACAGACATTCAGGCAATTCTGTGTGTCATTTGCAAGTACAAGAAAGCACTTAAAGAGTCTCTGAGGTCCTGTGATTAGGAATCTGGAAGGGCAATCTTATATGATTTTACCTTAAAGATCAGTTTCCAGCATTTTTAGCATTAGCATAAAAATCTTGGCAAGTTTAATTGAATTTACTTGACAGTAAAAAAAAAAAAAAAATAGAGAGAAGAGAATGATGGATTCTAAGAAAAAGATTGCTTTTCAAACTAAAATTGTTTTTTTACAGTAAAATATATATTTTTAATTTTATTATTTCATTTAATTCACTTGACAGTTTAAAAAATGGGAATGATGAATTTCTTCTTTCAAAAAAATAAATAAATAAAAAGGTTTCACTGAATTTACTTTAAATTTAAATTAGTAAATTGAATTTACTAAAATAAAATAAAATATAAATAAAATGTTGTTTCATTTAATTTACTTGACAGTTTAAAAATGCAATGAAATAAATATAAAACAATGGTGTCTAAATAAAATAAAGTTAAATATATATGAGAAAGAGAGAAATAGGCGAGAAAGAAACAGCATCTGATTTACTGAATGAAAAAACTTCAAAGGAACTGTGTATGAATCTCAGGCCTCAGGTTGACAATAGGTTGAGTTTCACTAAAAACTCAGTTAAACAAATGAAGTCCTAAAAAGCCTTTATCCTTTTTATGGTTTTAGTAATTTGACTGTTACAAACTACAATACCGCTCCCAGTAAGTGTCTTACCATCCTGCAGCCAAAAAGTGCCTTAATTGTATTGCTCATTATCATTATCCATTTAGTACATTTATAGAAGAGCAGCCCAAAGTGAGACTACAATAGAGCGAGCACAGACATTAAGACATATACATAAAAATTTAAGAACAACACTGCAGAAAAGCACTTTCAAGATAGGAGGAAGACAAAAACAGAAACAGAAGCTGCAGCTTCAGTGAATATACACTGATTAACTCCAGCTCTTCAGGGGTCAGTAGGGGTTTTGTGCTCTGTGACACTGAGGCTGAGATACCGCTCAGTGTGCAAGCACATTATTCCATCCAATTAAACCTCTACGAGCTGCATCTGCCTCGAAGACCTCTAACATTCTACATCTCGGGTTCAACCTCCTAAACCCCAGGGCTGGAGATAAAGATAAAGGCAAGGAGTGAGATAAGACAACAGATACTGTTTGCAAACAAGTGCAGGTGTTGCCTGAGGAAGAAAGTGCTACTGCCGTCATAATCATTTCAGAGATAGGACTAAATTCATCCATCACGACTGTCCTGAGTGTGATAAGCACATTCCTCTATGGGAGCGTGGAATAAACAAAGATATTTTGAAGAAGTTGGAGTCCAAACAATATTGGAACCCATTGACTTGTATTGTTCAATATAGACAAAGATCACTTTTCAGAGACATTTTTCAAAATATCTTATTTTGCGTTCTACAGAAGAAAGAAATGAATGCAGGCTTGGACATTTTTCAGAAGCTCTTTTCAAAATGTAACAAGCTAATTCTTCCAATAAGAATGGGTGTCACAAAATGCTATATTGCTGTTGTGTAGTGCTGGGCGGTATGACCAAAAATTTATATCACGGTATTTTTCAAAATTATACCAGTTTCACGGTACAAGACGGTATTTTTTTTTCATGCATGACTGGGTGTTAACCATATTTTCTACTGATTGAGAGAGGAAATACTGCAGTATATTGACTTAGAATGCCCTATTTTACTGTCATGATGAGTGAATATTGTCAAAAAATACCACACTAAATAGTGACTAAACACGACCCCTTTTAATACATGTTAACCAGGAGTCACTCTCATTTATAATCGCGGCATCGTCTGATAAAATCAACATGCATCTACACTAAAGAGCGGCTATGCGGTTGTTTTGGCTATATTACTTTTTTGTCTCATGCAGCGCACTGCCTGCGTCTGAGTAACAAACATACAGCTGTTCCCTCACCACAGTGCAACAGTGAAATGTGACCCCTTTCAAACAGTGTCGCGTTCCGAACGTTGTTTAAGTGACATACACCGGTATTGCGGTATTTTAAAAATTCATATCATAACAAAAATAAACACGGGTATTCGGTATGAACCGGTATACCGCCCAGCACTACTGTTGTGAAAGTCAGACTGTATTGTAAACAGCTTTACAGTCGAGTGAGCCAAAGTAATAATCAAACATGCTCTCCTAGATTATTCTCATACGTAACAGTGGGAGTATGATTCATTTCAGTCAATCAGTTCATTTGGACATACAAATGAAAATGATTCACTGATTCATCTTTTTATTCCAAAATATTGTGTTAAATGTTGCTGTTATTTATGTTTTTGACTCTGCTTTTAGTGTATTTCTACTTTAAATAGTCAAATAATTGAACAAATTAAATTGTGGCCTTTTAATGAACTGAATCAAAAGATTTTAGTCCTTGGGAAGAACCAAAACCATAAAATAAACGCTAACTGCTCTAACTATACATTCTATCATCTGATATTTATTCTGATTCAAAAGAATTTGAGCTTGACATGAGAAGCTTCCCCAACATTCCATAACAAAGTATTCTAACACCAAAATCTGTCTCTGCTATCAAAACGCCACATACTGGCAGTCACTTTATGATTTCTGATTTGATAGTCTCAGTTAGAAATTCTGGCTTTCTCAATTGAATGGAACACAGCATTAATATTTATGAAGTCCGGTAATTCCAAGATGAATCACTTCTGCTTTGAACAAAAAGGGATTTGTTGCCAATACTAATTTACACCTCTTTTCACACAGGTTAGTATACATGGGGCTGCACCTATTGAAGGCAACTTCTCTACAGACCCCCTGGCCATACATCCATCTCATGGGACCTGATAGGAAATAGATGGTTTATCCACCTGGTTCCATTGATCTGTGCATTTGTGTTTTTCTGCTTGTGTGTTTCTATATTAGGGTGTGGGGTCAGGGGTTCATCTGCTGCTAACACTATAATAGCACGATCACTCTGAGTGCCGGGCTATTTGGATGAAAGCTATTTTTTCACTCTGAAGTGGTGGCTCACACTCATGGGGGCTTATCTGCTCATTTTACAATGGCAGTTCATAGCGACCATAACAGTCAAGCGTCAAAAAGGAAAAAAATACACCATAAAAGTAGACTACATTACACACACAATGCTATAATTTTGTTGATATATGTTAATGCACAGTATTAAATTTCATACAGTATATGTGTCATGATAAATCTGTGTGAATCTGCTTTCATGTTTGTGGATTCCCAAAGCAGCAGTGAGGCATTGTAAACACAGCATCCTGCCAAACCACTGCCCAAAAATCCATCTTTCATCTCTCTTCTGAACAGATATATGGCCTGCAGATAAAACATCCAATACTCTCTCCAACTCTCTCTCTCTCCATGAGCGTATCTGGATCGCCCTCCCTTTAGACTCTCCTCTCAATCCCATCATGAATCTAAAGGCTGGGCACAAAGCAAATTGCCAGCTTAAAACTTTCCCTGACACCACATAATAATGATATTCACCTCAAATTGCAGCAAAAAAATTAACAATGGAATAAACGTGGGATGTCTGGGCATATTAATCAACAGGAGAATAGTCGGAGAAAAATCACAGGCACTTCATGGTGGACTCCAATATTTCTTTCTCCTTCATTCGTGCACAAACTCACTTGACGGAAGTGCTAATTTCAAAGCAGGCAGAGGTAAAACCAGCTGGACACTTTGGACAGAATATACAAACAGGTTTTATCAATCAACAAACCAGCAGATTTGTGAGATGCCTGTCAGACAGTGTGCAAAGAACAGCTTATCTTGGCATTGACTTTGCATTGACTTCTTTTGTTTTTACACTGAGCTAATGATTATTAGATATTCCCCCAAAACAGAAACCTTTTTGCATTTTCATAAAGACCTTATGAAGTCTGTTTACTAAGTTTTCCTCACGGACCAATTGGCTGCTGCTCACAATGTAGGCAATACCTGATTCAAAAGACTGAAAGCAACAAAGAAAAAAATTAAATATTTGGAAAGAGAAAATAAAAATGAACATGTCAAAGAGTAGTGGAACAATTAATGCATGAAATGAGAGAGAAAGATAGACGAAGGGAGTGTGAAATACTCTCAACAGAGAGACAGTTAGAGTTCACGGTATTACAAATTAAGCAAAAAGCAATAAAAACAGATCAAATGAAAGGATATGGGTTGAAATAGGCATAAATTGTACCTTCAGTCCTCCACACTCTGCTGCAGACCCTCTGTCCACACCTGTGATGTAGATACCTAAAGAGTATTCAGCCCCTCCGCGGATCATGAGACCCAGAGAACGGCCGTCATCCAGAACCAAATTTACCTGTGATGACATAGAGATTGTCTGATTAATAGCTAAATCAAATGAACAAATTACACATCTAAAAATGCATTTAACATATTTTTTGTCTGTGTTTTAAACAATATACACTATGTTCAAAAGTCTGGGGTGACTAAGTGAACACTTTTATTTAGAAAGAATGCATTAAATTGATCAAAAGTGACACTAAGGGTGCTTTCACACTAGCACTTTTGGTGCGCACCCGGGTTCGATTGACGTCAGAGTTCGGTACGTTTGGATGATGTGAACGCTGTCTTCCAAACTCGGGTGCGCACCCACGAACCCTGTTCGCCTTCAGAGTTCTTTAGAGCATTTGCATAAGGCAGACATAAGTGCCGTTATGTACTGAAGCTTTGGAAAGAAAACCAACGGTTCAAAAGCATAAATATAAAATTGAAGAGAGCAATGCTACGCATTTTGCCGTCTTCTCCTGCGCCATCGTTACTAAGCAACGGGGTAAACAGCTGCTGGCTTGATGACGCAAACGAACCGCGGTTCGGACCCAAATAATATAATGTGAACACAGTCCAACAGGGGGAGGGGGAGGGGGGAGCAATCGAACTGGGGTTCGGACCAAGCAATTGAACCAAGTGTGAAAGCACCCTAAAAGACATTTATGTTACAAAAGATTTCGACATAAATGTATTATGGTTTCAACTAAAAATATTAAGCAGCACAACTGTTTTTTTTTAACACTGAAAATAATAAGAAATGTTTCCTTAGTACCAAATCAGCATATTAGAATGATTTCTTAAGGATCGTGTGATGCTGAAGATCGTTGAAAATTCAGCTTTGCCATCACAGGAATAAAATTAATGTATTTTTTAATTAATCAAAAAATTGCATTCTAAAATATATTAAAACATAAATAAATTATTTTAAACTGTAATAATATTCACACAATAAAATTAACAATTTCATTACAGTTTTTACTGTAGATTTGATCAAATAAATGCAGCCTTATCGAGCATAAAACACTCTGGGAACTTTTGAAAAGTAGTGTAGCCTATATTTTGTACTCTGTTTCTTTCTGTTTCTTGGTTTGACATTTTATCTAATGCAATAACAATCAGACATTTTGAAGTGTGGCTTAAGCATCCAAATACTTCACACACAGGCTGCTTTTCACACACAAACACACACAGGTCACTGAAATGTAGTGCTGACATTACGGCGACAAGGAAATTAAAATATTTACCAAACACAATGTGCTGTTCACCTCTCAAATATAGAGCAGCCATTACTGTGCCTTACAACTATAATTCTCGACTCTAACAACCTATGCGCCTTAGCGAACGACAGTTCTGCTGAACCAGCACAAGAACTAATGTGACTCCCACGACCTCTTCAATGTGCAGCACACAAAAGCAACAATAGTGCTGTGATTAGAATGCATCATAGAATCCCCGCAGAGCCAATCAGACGGGGTCACCGGAGGACTCTGGGAGTTCAATGCGGCAGTGCGCCGTCTCGTCCAAACACAAGAACCCACCAAAAGCGTCTGTCGCCCACTAGCACGCTGCTTAAAGGTTATACTAGCCATCCCTGAAAGGTCAAGGTGGCGTATGGCCATACTCCGTTTTGTGTGTGTCACTGTTCATAATGCCACACATTTATAAATGTCTCTCTCATGAATGGCTCCCTTTATTTATTTTTTATTCTTCTTTAGTAGCGTGCTAGAGGCTAAATAGTCTTTGGCTTCCAACCGAGCTTTCTACGCAACTTTTGTTTCGGTACCCAGGAATTTGTCAGAATTACCCAGCAAATTGCTTCAACGTGTTGTGAGACTGAACAAGCAGGGTAGTAAATCAGGGCAGACCGAGGGAGATTTCTGCTGCGCTGTGCAGTACTGATGAAGTCGGCATGCTACGCTAGCACGCTCACTTCCAACGGCCCCGGGGCCCGAGAAAGAGCGCACGCTCTCCAATAACCTTGGCAGATTTACACCTGGATGAACAGCTCATAAAACTCTCCCTATAAATCACATTTAAAGGGTCATATGATGCGATTTCAAGTTTTCCTTTCTCTTTGGAGTGTTACAAGCTCTTGGTGCATAAAG